CTTTTGATTAAGAATCTTATGACAGCTAAAATTATTTTTAACTTCTGGTACACTTGAATAAAACCATGTAATTTAAAATGATCTTCATCTATGTTTTCAAGAATGCAAGAAATAGTAATTTGTAAACCAAGATCTACAGGAATTTTTTGCAGCTTGAATAAATTTGGGATACTGAAGAATTACAAACATTTTTACAGAAATATTCTATTCAGTTTTTATAGTAAATTTTCTAAGATTTATATTACTTTGAGATATGATTTTTCGTTGATTCACTATGGAAATGTTTTGCCAGTTATGCAAACAAACTCATCTTACCATTATAGAAATTCAATATATTTTACAATATGAATTCCATATGGATAAACATGCTCTGGGCTAAAAAAACATAGCTAAAAAACATAAAAAAAGATATATTTTCCGCTCAGGTTAGGTAAAAACCTACTAAAGAATTGGTTTTCAACGCAAAAATATTGCATGTACATTATTTGACGTATATAAAGCAAATGAAAACAAAATAGGTGTTGCTTTTCGTAACAGATGATAAATAAGTAATCTGAACTAGAAAGAAAACCATACGAATTTCTGACATTCTTTTGAAACCGGAATGGAAAATTTCACAAGTTATCAAAAATAAATAAAAAGATAAATAGCAAAAAATTAAAAAACTTGGTATCTGGAAACTTCAGAAAAATCTCATACAGAAAAATAACAGTTTCGTAATGTTAAAAAGAATATGAGAATTTGCAACCTGATCTGAAACCTGAAAAGAAACTGAAACCTGAAAAGAAATTGCAACCTGATCTTTGTATGCAGATTTAACTTTATTATATTAAGTTAAGCAGTTATTACAGAATTTGTAGTTTAAGAATGATGTATGTATGTATGTATGCATGTGTGATTATGGCAAAACCTCGAGGGCTATGTGCCTAAGGGGAGGGATCTCTTCGTGGAGGACTTTTTAAGGGAAACTGGCTCGTATACACGTTACACATGGGGAAAACCACACGAAAACACCCATGCAGCCAGCCCGTTCGCGGGATTCGAACCTCGGACCGAACTACCAGTGTTCAGCAACTTTACCGTTCGGCCGCTGGTGGGCCGTAGTTTAAGAATGATTTCTCCGAAATTTAAAGACATAAAACATAATTTTTATACAGAAAATGAGCTGTATGGTAGACTGTTAAGATGACATATGGTAGAATAGCATTGAAGATATTTCATCGTAAATTAATACCTGATTATGAAGACTTAACTATGCATTTATTTTATCTGATTGCTTGTGCTGAGGTTTGCAACTGATATACTACCTTTCAAACAGGAGTGCTTTATATTTCCATAGGACAGGAAATTCACGCACTGGAAACGATAAATACACCCAGAAGGTTTCTTAGAGGAAGATAATAAACTATTTGAAGTTAGAATGAATTTAATATTTAATATTCAGATGTGAGAACCTACATAAAAGGTTTGGTTTCCATTAATTTATTATGGCAAAGTATTCGAGGGCTATCTGCCTAAGGAGACGGATGCCTTCGGGGAGGACTTTCTAAGGGAAATGTCTCGTATACGCATTACACATGGGAGAAAAAACGAAAACTCCCATGCAGCCAGTCCATTCACGGGATTTCAAAGTGGGACTTCGAACTACTAGTGCTCAGCAGATTTACCGCTCGACCGCTGATATGCATAAAAGAAACAGCCACGATATTTATAACTGATGAATATACTTAGTTTCACAGAGAAAAGAAAGAACAGATTAGAAATTTGTTAAATTTTAGACTGTATCACAGATCACCATAGTAGTGAAAATTTATTTCATAATATTGTGAAAGATGTAGGATTCGACAGAAATAGTAAAGCCGCGTTAATGAAGAGGTGTTTCATAAAACTTTTATTTAAAAAAAATTAGTTTAATTTAGTTTAATTTAATATTATATCTTAATATATGAGAAAGAGGTAAAAATTGAATTCAGGTAAGCAAACTGAGTAGTTTATGTTAAAACAACACGTCGAATAATGATTAAAGGATAAGTCAAACGATAAGAATCAGCGTAATATTTGTAAATTTTGTAGGACTAGTTTAGATGGTTTAGCTATAGAATCAGCTTGCTCAGCTACCTAAGTGCAAATGAAGGAGATAAGACAGGATGAAAAGATAAGAATGGCGTGGAAGAAGTTAAACTACTGGCGACATCTATTGATGAAACAACCAGATTAAATCATAATGTTCTTAAAGGCTGAAGGTAAAGCTGGATTAGAATTACGGTCGTTAATTGGAATAGAAAGATTTTATTAAATGTGAAACGCCTCCATAAAGTCGAATTCACCAAAGGAAGATGTTTTTTGAATAATGTTGGCTGTAGAAAAATGGAAAGTGTGATTTTCGGACCAACACTGCTGAGCAACAGAGGATTTCTGTGTTTCCTTTTTCCTAACATATGCCTCATGTGATTTAACGCGAAATGTTAAGGCTATCTTAGTTTGGCCAATGTAAATTAAGCCACATTTGAAAGGAGTCCTGCAAATACCTCAGGAATTCCCATCTGGAATGGGGTCCTAAGGTATGGAACTGGGAATCCTATTGACAAGAGAAAAATGACCCAAAAATTAAATTTCTGTAAAATACATGCAATTTTATGGCTAATCGACGGAAAGAAAGGAATGACAACAGAATTCTTATAATCGTCTAAAACGAGAGTGTGCCTTTTGATGCGTTGTAATGATAATTTTTTAACTGCTTGGTGAATAATGTTGGGCGTAAAGCCCCTGTCAATAGCAACTGCTTTTAGATAACTTAGTTCTTGATCAAGAGTCAGTTTGGAGGAGCAAACCGGAAAACAAAGGAATAAAATGAAACTAACTTCTGGTTATTCGGATGAGATGATTTGAAGTGTGGAAGGCAAACCGTTGAAGGTTTACGGTAAACAGTAGTACTGAAGTTGGATGTGTTATGTGTGACCAAAATGTTGAGGAACGGAAGAGAATTGGTTTTCTCAGGTTCGAAAGTGAAATGAATAGCAGGATGAGTGGAATTCATTATTGAAAAAACTTTAGTTAAATCATTTTTATTACCGTCAAAACAGGGCAAAAGTATCGTCTACGTAGCGGAACCATACCGGGAGAGAATTTTAAAGTTTCAAATAATTTTGATTCATAATAATGCACCGAGATATCAGCAAAGATGGGACTAAGAGATCTTCCGATGCCTAATCTCTCAGTTTTCTTGTAATACTTGTTTTGGAAAACAAAATGGATTTGTTTCAAACAGAGATGAGTAAGGGAAATTAGCTCATCAATTTCGATGCAGGAGAAATGAAATTCACGAAGTCTGGTTTCTAGACATCTTAATGCACCTTCCACTGGAACATTGGTGAATAATGAACCATGAGTAAATTTCTAGGAGAAATGCTTTTAAGTTTTTTTAATAAACTCTATTGCATTTTTTGTGGTGTAAATGTTATTATCTAATAAAGTTAAACATCTAGAAACTAAATATTTAGCTAACGGGTACGAGGTAGTGCCTAAATTTGATAAAATAGGACCGGAAATGAATACCACTTTTATAAATTTGGGGAAGAGCGTATTTTTTGACACAATTTGCCTCTGATGGAAAAAGCGATTTTTTTAAATGGGTCGGAAGCATTTCTGAAGGTTTGATCGCAGTTTTTATCGAGAGGTCTCTAGGAATCGGATTATATGGTCCTTCGTTTAAGAGTTTAGTTACACAACTGATGTAAGTTTTCTTGTCCATGACGACTATCTGGCCACCTTTATCGGCCTTTGAAATGATAATGTCCGGGATAGAATGAATTTCGCGCATTGTAGCTTTTTCTCTCGCGTTTAGATTTGATTTCAAAGGCTTACTGTTGAATTTCAAATTATGGGCGATAAGATGCCTAATCATTTCTTTCTGTGTATCTGAAACGTTACTGAATTTCAAATTCAGTAAAGATAGCATTCGAACGCAGTGTTCCGAGTGAAGATTGAATGCTTTAAGTAGAAATATACTAAATAATTGATATTTGACCTCTTGCACTTTCTCATTTTATATACGTTTGGAAATTTATTTCACATTAATAGCGGCAAAATTATATTTAAATCTTTCTTATGATGTTTTTAAAAATAAAACATTAAAGCATACAAAACTTATATCATCAAAATGTAAATTTAAAATTGTTTTAAGATATGGACTAGACGGAAAAACAAATATATATATATATGTGTATATATGTGTATATATATATATATATACATTCGAACAATTATATATATATATATATATATATGTTCGAAATGTATAGGAGCGGTAAGATGGCTTCCCCGCAAAGCAGTTTTAGGGTTGCCATAAATTGGCAAAGGAAGGCAAAGTTGCCACATTTGGCGAAAAATAGCGCATTTGGCGAAATTTGGCGACAAAATTGGCGATATACCATGGAGGAGGAGAACCTTGGAACCTTCTGAACGAATTTTAGCCAGAATGTTCTCGAACACAAGCCGAAAGCTATATAAACCCTGCTGGTCCGCAGTCAGTCAGTAATATCGAGAGTCTGCGTCTCTCATCGAGTGAGTGTGTCTCATCTAGCAAGTCAATCCCTGCGGAGTCGATCGAGTTGACAGCCGGGCAGGAGTGCCGATTCATAATCACTGTGGCTGCTCATCGTAAGCAATTCGTTTTACTACTATATAATCGTAACTGTTTATATATTTCTAATTGTTACATATGTATACATATAAAATATTTAGTCACTCGATTAGAACTAATATTTGATATATTAATAATTGATAATATAATATATTTATCAAGTTGAACCTCAAATGTAATTGTAAATACGCGACGTAAAATAACATGGTATTCGTGCATCGAAATAACACGAAAGCGTTTGCGTCTAGGACAACGCTGAAATTTCATTTCATTTATGGTTTTAAAGTGAGTATTATATTACAAACACACTGAATTTAAAAAAAAAAATAAGAATTGCAATAAAGCTATGTATGCTTACTTTTACAGGTACACAAATAAGAACCACGAGTAAATCAGCAGTGGCAAGGGATGCAAGAAATACGTTGCTGATGGTCCGCATTCTTCTGAAACTCATAACTGTGTAGATAATGAGAACATTTCCGATGAGTCCAACGACAAGCGTGATACCATATACTAGAGCTACAGGAATCAGTTCCTCCAAGAAATAGAGACTGAAAGACTCGTCTCTGTCGTAATCCGGGTATCCACTGGAATTTGTAACGTCGAAGTCACTTCCATTTTCCTGGTAGATGGTCACTTTCATATCTGCTAAGGAAAAAAAGAAAGTACTGCATAAATATAATGTTACAGAAAGAATATACAGGTATATTTTGTAATTCGTGATCACAACAAGATTTGGCCATTGGGTCTCCTCATCCCCCAGTCGCCTAAGCTTCGAGAGGGAAAATAGCGTTTTTTCGCTTGCTTTCGGGGTGTAACTGAAGGCACTCTCAATGCGCACTCAAGGGCGGGGGGCTCTGGGACTCGAATCCCAGGGAGGGCAATGCAGATCTTTTACGTTTTTATATCGATATAACCTAATAATTTACAAGCGGTGCCCGAACTAAAAGGTGGTGGACGATAATTTCTCACTACTAGCATTTGGTAAATGGGTCCCCTAATATCCACTCGTCCTTTAAAAGGGGGAAGATATTTTCTCCCTCCTTTCCGCATACCTTCGTGATGTAACCGAAGCATGCGGACACGTATTCGGGACGTCCGGAGTTGAATCTCTGCAAATGTATTGTGGGCTTCTCAGTTTCTGACACCGAAAATAGCCCTAATGATTCTACAACTTATTAGTATATAATGATAAATTTTTGTGTCCCATTTCACACACGAGGAGGAGTAATTCTTACTTCCTGAGTTGTACCTTCAAGATGTACAAATGAATATTGCGAACAATGGATTCATTATTGTTTTATATTAAAGTAAGAGAGCGAGTACTCTTAATATTACATAGTAACCTAAATGAATATGCCTTAAGTAAAGAACGATTTACTTTATTATTTGAACATCTTTTGTGCTGTGACCAATGTTAATCAGGATTCAAAGTTCCGATCCGTGTCCACTGTATCTTTGCATTTTAAGGTACATAAGATTACGTAAACAGTAATTTTTAAAATTGATTTTTCTTCAATACTTTACAGAAAATTGACGGTAATAACTGAAAATTGTAAAGCCAGTAAAGATTTTGATTTAATGTTCGTGACATGTTAAAAGGTTTATTGCAAGAAAAATGTCTTTTTTAGCTTAGCGGTCTTGCAGGTATAAACAGAAACGACACAAACTGATCTCTCAGCAAGACAGTTATTGAAGAAATTAAACATTCCTAAGAAATATGAATAAATCCTTTCAGTTTTCGGTTTAGAGTATGCGCATCAAATTACATAACATTGAAGGAGAAATAAATATAACAAAAATCCTCTGGCTCCTATCCAGAAGAAGGCTTCAGCTTTAACAGCTTTTGAGAATTTTTGATTTGATAAAATGGCAAAGTGCTGTGATTGCTATATTCCCCAGAATGGTCAACAAAGAATTCATCCCAGTCTGCTCGAAATATTATTGAAGATACTTTTGTATTTCCTCACTTCGCACTTTCATCTTTTCTAAGAATATATTTTATCTAGAACAAACGTGAACTAACGAATGAGTTCTTTTTCTAACGAAGCCTAGACCGCATCTCTATCTTTTACCGAAAGATGAGATTTACGAATTCATTCCCCCCAAACAAAGAGTGCAAAAATAGTCTGTTTTATTTGAAGTGATAAAAATTACCCAAATAAAACAAAGTTATTCAATTCATAGACTTAAATTCTTTGCAATAGAAAAGTCTGTTTCAGATGCAGACATAATTTAGTGCCTAAAAATACAGCGATAATCTCAAAACGCGGGAAAGAATTATACACCAAGCAAAATTGTATACAGATAAAATGGAGCTATTTGCTATGGAATTTTGTTTCCATGAGACATGTACTCTGTTGAACGAAAGACTATCCCATTCTTCCCTTGGAACTAAATGAAAGACATATACTTTAAACAGAAATAAATATTAAAGAATGATCGAAAACTTACTATACTCTATTACGTTAAGATAGGTGCGTCAAGATCGTAACGATACTCCTTATTTTTGATCGTAATGTGTTGTCATCACCGGGCAGAGGTGATTAAAAGATTTCAAAGTATTTATCATCTACAGCAAAAGTCGTTACTATGGTCATGAGGCAAAAAGGACGGAAAATGTTCTCGAAGCGTCGATTCAAACGTAACACACTATAATAGCCATCACTAACGAAGGAATAGAGAAAATATATGAAACTAAGCAAATATAAATATAATGTTACAGAAAGAATATACAGGTATATTTTGTAATTCGTGACCACAACAAGATTTGGCCATTGGGTCTCCTCATTCCCCAGTCGCCTAAGCTTCGAGAGGGAAAATAGCGTTTTTCGCTTGGCTTGCTTTGGAACGAGGCAACTCTCAATGCGCAATCAAGGGGGGGCTCTGGACTCGAATCAGGGGGGCAATGCAGATCTTTACGTTTTATATATTAACCTAATATTTTCAGCTTTCCAAACGAAAAGGTGGTGGACGATAATTTCTCACTACTAGCATTTGGTAAATGGGTCCCCTAATATCCACTCGTCCTTTAAAAGGGGGAATTTGTAAGATATTTTCTTCTCCTTTCCGCATACCTTCGTGATGTAACTCGAAGCATGCTGGACACGTATTCGGGACGTCCGGAGCTTGAATCTCTGCAAATGTATTGTGGGCTTCTTCAGTTTCTTGACACCGAAATAGCCTAATGATTCTACAACTTATTAGTATATTAATGATAAACTTTTTGTGTCCCATTTCACACACGAGGAGGTGAGTAATTCTTTACTTCCTGAGTTGTACCTTCAAGCTGTAGTACAAATGAACTATTGCGAACAATGGATTCATTATTGTTTTAGTATTAAAGTAAGAGAGCGAGTACTCTTAACTATCTACATAGTAACCTCAAATGAAATATGCCTTAAGAGTAAAGAACGATTTACTTTATTATTTGAACATCTTTTGTGCTGTGACCAATGTTAATCAGGATTCAGAGTTCCGATCCGTGGTACCATGGAAGTGGTACCATGTAGGAATGAAAATAGAAGAGAGGATGTATCAATGACTTGAATATGTACAGTTAAAATATAAATTCGCGAGGTAGCTTTCTTGTACTTGCACGCTTTATGCGTTTTCCATTCCACTACCGGAGATGATTTCATCTTTTCGAATCCATTTTCCTTCCACTTTTAAAATTCATAATATCTGCATCATACGTCCTGTTTAACAACGACCTGTATGATAATTTAGTTTTAAGTCATATCATTAAAATTTCACTCAACTTGTCGTGTTGCCTGTATATGAATACGGTTTTGTGTGATATTTCAAGCTCCTTATACCAGTATGAATTATCACTAGCATTACTTAGCAAATATTATGTCTGTCCCGCGTCATAGAGCAGCATTGAATTGTTCTGCTTTACATGTTTTAAGTTCCCATGTGTGATTTACGTGATTATAATCGCCTTATGTACTTTTATATAAATGCTTGAATAATTCAGTTCCTTTATATGCATTTTATGCGTCTAAATGTGATTTATGCTTTATATGTGTTTTAGGTATTTACAAATGTTTGTGCATATATATGTATAATTTCTGTTCAAAGGGCACGTTAAGCATTTCTCCGCGTGGCCTAAAGGCAGATGCCAGCTCCACAGATTATGCTGGGCGCGGGGCAATACCTGCTTACGAATATTAGCCATCAGATATCTCCGTCCTCTGTCGCTTATTTTCTATCAATGGCTTGAATTCTAATCCGAGGTTTTCAGCAATGTATTAGCATATTAAATAGTTGCTTAATTTGACATTTTACATTTAGAAGGAACTACTTGCTTTGTCTCCTTTCTTTTGTTTCGTAGAGTCATTAGGCTTTTTGAAGCAAAAGGCATGAAAGATGAGCAATGTTTTCCCCGGGACTCCAACCTGGACCACTAGAATACTCGCAGAGTCTGCTACCTTCATACCAGTAAGGCATGCAGAAAGGAGAGAAAAATACCTCTCTTTCTCTTCGTTACAGATGGTATCACTGTTTTTAGTAGGACGCTCTGAAAAATTCGTTGGTCTCAGATTCTGTTTGTGATAATTCTATTTCATTTAGTTGTAGCTAAAGAACGTTAAAAGTTTTAATTGTGTAAAGCTCTTTAAGTAAAATAAAATGGACCGCAAATAATGTTTTATCTGCCAGAAAGCTAACGAGGTTTTAAAAAAAGGGGTTATTTTTAGCAGCGAAATGCTCGGTGAATACCTATATGAAAGACTTTGTATATTGTATATTGTAAAGTCACTTACTTGTACATTATACAGAAGAAAAACTAAAATACCCGGCAGCCAATCATTTCGGTCCCCAGGAACAAGTTTGGAACGAATTAAAGCGCATAGATACCTTATCCTCTCTCACAGTGCAGGGTTTAATCTCAGAACAAATGTACCATACGTATTTTATAGATAATAAAAACTTGACAATCTAGCGCAGTTTAAATAAAATTCATTTTGAATGTAACAACGAAATATTATGCACTGATTAAATTTCAGCATCGTTTATTACACAAAAGTTCAGCAATATGTCCCCCTTGCTGAAGACTTTATATGAAATACTTTGAAACTATGTACAGTACTTTTTTTAAATTTTTTAATTATTTCCATGCAATAGTTTAAAGATCATACATAATTAGATACATCCATAAAGTTCTCATTTTCAATATGATTTTATATTAGGTTTTAAACAATTAAGTGAAATTATAATGTTTGTAGCAAATCAGTTCTGCTATTCACAATCATTTCTCGACTGGTGACGTATGTTGTCTTGTGATAAAAGGACTGGATGTCTTTTATTAGCCCAGAAGGGCTATTAGTTTCTACACGTCATTTTGCATCGAATCTAAGGAAGTTAGAATAAATAACGTAAGCTTCTCGCGTATGTCTCGTGCAAGAAAAAGGAAGACATGAAACGTCACGGTATGACGTCACCACTTACATGGCCGCTGTCATAAGCAGACTTCTGTTTGGATTTGTTCACATTATAATCGGCGATGTCTACATTTTAGCTATTTATTATTATAAATATTATCACCCTGTGTTATACTTAAAGAATTTAAATAGTAGAGAATGTGCATTAATGCATGTATGTTTCTCGCATTATGGAAAAACAGCGATACTTAGATCCATCAAATT